TGAGGACCCTAAGACATGACCAGCCGGAAGTAAAAAAATCTCGATGGTTCCCTGATGTGTGAAAAAAATCTTCCGAGCGGCTTGATGGAGAGCCTGCTGGTCTGTCTGCCTATGCTAATAGGGTGTCTGTACATAGCTTCTTCGATGTCGTTCGTTGGATCCCGTGCTTCGTTTGTTTCCGGTCCAGTGCCCTTTGCACCTGGAAAAGAAAACAAGAATGCTGAGAACCTTGTCAAGAAAAATGTACCAAATAAGCGTTTTTTTTTACCAAAAAAATATGACATGCATCTACTATACAGTAAAATAATGTAAAGTTCAAAATATCGGGAAAAAAAATATACATCTTATATAATTTTATGTACGGTTATAGGAAAAATATCATTTACTTGTGTTAAATGACGCAACATAAAAAAAAATTGATGTGTCACTCAGTTATGTGAGATAGGTGTGAAGGTATTCTGGGAATCTAACGTGACGTCCAGAACGCGTTTTTTTAGAGTGATCGACCGAAGGTTCAGTGGCTTTCGCCGTGCTAGGGAGTTCTTCGAAGACTGAAGTAGATTCAATTACTTGTGAATTATCGGGTACGTTTAGCTCCAGGCTAATGGGATTACCTTCCAAGTAAGCTGGTTTCAGACGGTCGATACTGACGGTGTCTTCGCGGCCTTTTTTGTCTAAAACGAAGAATTTATCAGTACGTTTAATCACTTTATATGGTCCGTCATATGGGGGTTCTAGAGGACGACGTACCGAGTCGCGACGAACAAATACATGTGAAGAAGTTTTTAAACAAGGGTGAACGAAAATATCAATGGACTGTGGTCGGAGGGGAGCAGGTTTAACTGAACGCATAGCGTTTGTAAGCCTGCTGACGTATGAGGAGTGATCTACTACTGGTGGGAAGCTCGAGGGAGAAACAAACTCACCTGGCAGTCGTAGTGTTGTGCCATATACTAGCTCAGAGGTAGTACAACCAGCATCGGTTTTTAAGGCGTTTCGTATCCCTAGGAGAACTAACGGAAGGGATTCAGTCCAATGGGTGTTATTTGCAGCTGATAAACCAGCTTTCAACTGTCTGTGTAGACGTTCTACCATACCATTCGCTTGAGGATGGTAGGCTGTTGTTCGAAAACGCATGCAACCAATGATTTTAGTCAAAGCGAAGAATAAACCGCTTTCGAATTGCCGCCCACGATCAGTTGTTATGGAAGATGGGCATCCAAAGTTTGCGATCCATCTCTCTACAAAGACGCGTGCGACAGTTTCAGCAGATATATCCTTGATGGGTACTGCTTCAGGCCATCGTGTGAAGCGATCGATGCAGGTTAACATATAGGTGTATCCATGAGATTCTGGAAGGGGGCCAACTAAATCTACATGGACGTGTTCGAAACGGGCATCAGGGATAAGAAAAGTGCCAAGGGGGCTTTTAGTGTGTCTTATTACCTTGCACTTTTGGCAAGCTAAGCACGTCTGTGCCCATTCCTTTACTTCCTTGTTAATACCAGGCCAACAAAACCTACTAGTTACGAGTTTGACAGTAGTTCGAATACCTGGATGGGATAAGCCATGCAACGTATTGAAGACGTTACGGCGATAACTTTTAGGCACGATGGGGCGAGGAGTACTAGTGGAAATGTCACACAGAATAGTATCCTTTCCTATACCTAAGGGTTTCTTGGCTAGTTGTAGAGTTGTTTTCGACAACTCACGCTGAAGCTCAATATCTTCTTTTTGAAGACGAGCCAGTTTTACAAGGTCTATGCCATCGATTTGGGTGAAAGAACAAATACGTGACAAGGCATCTGCCACAGTGTTGTTCACTCCGGAAACGTGGCGAATAACGGATGAAAACTGTGAAACATAATCTAGTTGTCGCGATTCCCTGGGTGAATACTTATCTGAAGTTGAGTTCAGAGAGTACGTCAGAGGTTTGTGGTCAGTGAAAATGGTGAATTCACGACCCTCAACTGAATGTCGAAAATGACGTATAGCACAGTACATAGCAAGAAGTTCCCTTCCGAATATGCTGTACTTCGTTTCAGCTACTTGAAGGCGCCTCGAGAAAAAGGCGAGTGGTTGCCACTCGTTGTTAACTAGTTGTTGCAGAACTGCGCCGATTGCAGTGTCTGATGCATCAACCGAGATACTCAACGGTGCCGTTGGATCCTGATACATAAGAAGGGTGGCATCTGCAATAGCTTTCTTTACCTGAGTAAAAGCATGTCGAGCAGATGTGTCGAGTTCGATAGCCTTGTTGTTCCCTCGAAGGAGATCGGTTAATGGCTGAATTAGCGAAGCACAATTAGGAATAAAACGTCGGTAATAACTTACCAAGCCGTTAAAAGTGCGAAGGCATTTTACTGTCTTTGGCTCCGGAAAGTTCAGTATTGCTTCGACTTTGGTAGCCAGTGGGCGTATGCCCTGACAGTCAATAGTGTGACCCAGAAAATCGAGTGAGTCAACACCTATCTGACACTTCTGTATATTGATGGTAACACCATGTTGGCGTAACCTTTCAAATGCCAAGTCCAAGTGTCTAAGGTGAGTTTCCTTATCTGGACTGGCAATGAGGCAGTCGTCTAAGTATGCGTATACAAAGTCGAGACCGCGAAATACTTCATCGATGAAGCGTTGGAATGTTTGTGCCGCATTCCGGAGGCCGAATGGCATACGTAGGAATTCGAAAAGTCCGAAAGGCGTAATGATAGCCGTTTTCGGAATATCTTCCGTTGCCATCGGGATTTGGTTATATGCTTTAACCAAGTCGATTTTGGAGAATATAGATGCTCCAGATAACGTTGCCGTCAAGTCGTGTATGTGAGGCAAAGGGTAGCAATCAGGAGTTGTTTTGGTGTTCACTCGCCGGTAATCACCAGTGGGTCGCCAATCGTTACTATCCTTTTTCGGTACCATATGCAACGGGGATGCCCATGGACTATTCGATGGTCGAATGATGCCAAGGGTGAGCATATGATCGAATTCGTTTCTGGCAATTCTCAGTTTATCAGGGGCCAGTCGTCGTGCTTTAGATGTCACGGGCTGTCCTGAGGTTATGATGTGGTGCATAACATTGCTGGTTATACACGGGAGATCGTTAGATGGGCAATTCAGTTCCGGACATTTGTCAACAATCGGTTGAAAAGTTGGATCGAGGATTGCTTTCATCTTAACGATTGACAAACTGGGGCCACTGTAAGTTATGCCTTTGATAGACAAACTAGTAGTGTTGTCAATTAGTCGCTTACGGCGGACGTCTACGAGTAAATCATGATGATTAAGTAGGTCCGTGCCAATGATGGGCATTGTGACGTCAGCGATCAGAAAAATCCACCGAATAGGTTTGCGTAAACCTACGTTCAGATAGACGTATTTCCGACCATAGGTTGCAATTGGTTTTCCATTTGCAGCCTGTAGGTTGAAGTTAGGATCCTTCTGTCGATCTGCTGCTGTAGCAGGAAGGACGCTGACCTCGGCGCCTGTGTCGACTAGATATCTAGTCTGGCTCATTACATCATGGATGTAAAGTAAGCGGCTAGTGCCACCGGCGACGGTTGCCGCTAACGTGTGCCGGCGGGATAGTTTCCCACAGACTTGGAGGCTTTGCCGAAATCACAAGGTTTTCGACAACATTTTGCTTCCTTGCCATAGGTGTTGTGATACCAACACCAGTCAGGATTTTTGAGAGAACGTGTGTTGGACTTAGATCGTCCACGTACGTTTAGCCGTTGAGGGGATTTGGAACGACGGTAGGAGGAATTGCTAGGCTTGTTTGACCTAAGCATCTGCTGGACGGAGTTGATTAACTCTATCATTGCCGAATCCTTCTTCGAAGCCTGTTCGGTAACTGAGTATACTTCGGTAACTGGCCATTTCGTTATCTCTAGAATTCTATCTGCAGAGACAGCTAAATCATCTATGAGAACACCCTGAAGTGTCACAAGTACAGTCTGAACTGACTGTGGCAGTTTGGATAAAAATAGTTCTCTGAACAGTCCTTCATCGAACTGACTTTGGCCAATGATCTCTTTCATTCTTGCCAGCATGCTCACGGCTGACTGATCTCCTAACTCGATGTTACGAAATAACTCATCCAGACGTTGTCGATCTGTGAGAACGTTTCTCTTGAGTATGGATGCTTTTAGCAACTCGTACGAGTTACTTACCGACATCTGCAGAGTTACGCACCTGCTGAATTCCCGCGGTAGGGCGTGAATAACTGCAAGGAACTGTGAACGTTGATCAGTTATGCCATGTTCACAAAAATCGGACTCAGCAATCTGAAACCACGTTTCAGCATTATCTGGCCAAAATGGTACTAGCTGAATTGTTTTGGCGGTTGAGCGAATCTGAATAACCTTGGGGCTAGGATCACTCATGATGAAAAGTATGCCGATAACAATATAGTACAAGAATAAACACAAAAAGGAACGAACTCACCGGGATTATCTGCGTGTGAATTGAAGATGTAGTTCGTGGTAGGGCTCACCAGTTTAGAGACTGCGGGTATCGACGTTCGCGAGTTGTACGGATTATACTAACGCAAGATCTTATACCAACAACCACTATAGTGTTCGTTCTTCGAGTACCAAATGGTAAAGCAAAAGACCAGATTTTGTCGTCCAAATACGATATATATTTTGGGACCAAATCGCGGGTAGGAATGAATGCTTAGCTAGCTAGTAATCGTGCACGCACGTGACACGACGAAGCACCAAATGGCGGGGATGCTTGACCGTAAGCCTTCAGCTAAACAAGTCGACTTAAACAGTGATGGTCAGCATCCAATGTTGAGTGATGATTGCTGTGGTTAATAATTTTGGGGAATTATTTACCGCTACAATAGTAACGAAAATGAGTTGAAAATTGGTGAGTGTTGCCTGTTCAGTTTTTAGAAACTGTCTGCTGCTGTACAGTATGCTGAAACCTAAGTATTTTCTTAAACATGAAGAATTGGTCTTTGTACGTATCAATTCACTGTAGTTATTAAGGTCATTTTAATGTGGGGTTTTAAGTATACCCAATGGACGTGTTGCGATTTATTTTTTAACTTTATTTTACTCTTCTTTGTAAGTGGTAAGTTTATTCCCGGCATTAGAGATATTAAAAATTGTTTAATTTTTCACTTGTTAACCATGAATTATGAAGTTATCCCGAATGTACTTGTTTCATATGATAGAGTTCATTGTTGAAATGTTCAGAGTTTATCGATGTATATTGTTTGAGATGACCGATTTCCTACGAAGTATTTGATTGTCCCGAATTTCATGTCACTAAAATAATATGAAGCGTCATGTTTGCTTCGTGGATATTCATAATATCAAGACATAGGTCTTTAGTTATATTAGTAAATGTGTCCTTGGTTTATGTGTGTTTGAAATATTGCCTGATAATTTTTACTCTACATGTTAGACTGAATTTCTATTTGAAATACAGGACCAGTTTTTCTCATAAAATGCAAGCAAAACATTTTCATTTAAGCTGTAAATATTACGAACTCCTCAGTTTGTATGGGAATGAGAATAGCTTTGTGCAATAACACACATTTAAATAATTTCGCCATCGTTTTCGGGTAGTTATGCAGGGTAAAAGATTCTTCACATACTCTTCCAGTGCTTTCAGGAAAAAAACAAGTAGAGCTCTTCGTCAAAGGATTCTTTGGAATTCCTTAACTTTAACTTTCGAGATTGTACTTGATGTATGGAATTTTCCATGAGATTGTTAGGTGGGTAACTACTTTGCAGGAATATTCGATGCGTTTTTCTCAGTTATTAACTGTTGCTTCAGCCTTTTTTGGCCTTGCGCAGTTCACAACCTATTTCACCTATCGAATTTGAATAGATAGATACACCTTTCACCAAAATCTGTTACTCTTCGGTTCACCGAATACCAATATAAGATCACTCATACTATGTTTTGTAAATAAATGGCGTCTACATAAGTGTTGATGTTATACTGGAAACAGTTGTGCATGCATTTTCCCACGAGTATTTAGTCCAAGGTGACACTAAAAGACCTGTCAGTGAGAACTTTAGTTTAGAGATCAAATTAAGGACCAACGCTGTGACGTTAACAAACCGTGAACCAATTAGCCACTTAAACTATATAACATGAAAGCTTCACATTACCAGAAAATCTGACCGCTTCCTTTCTTTCCTGACAGCTGATAGACAAAACTGGGGCCACTTGTGTACACAAGACGTTGTGTAAGAGTGTGTAATATACCTTTTTGGTCCCAGTTTAAAGTTTTACAAGCACTTTTTTGCTGGCTGAAGTTCACTCCTGTAAACTAACTTATCCCTGACACAGTTCTCAGAGGCTTGTTTGTTTACTTCTTTCAATTAATTATGGTTATGATGCTTATTGTGTAGTTGTTTCTGTAACAAGACATCTGATTAACCTGTTCACCTGGTCCACATCATTTGATTGGTCATGCTTCGCCAGCGTGTAAGTCCTAAATTACAGAGATAAACGTGCGACGTCATATATTCAAAAATAACGGATGACAGTATTGTAACAATACAATATACGTCATTTACAGCTCTAATCTTCAATTAACCATAGAAACCATGCTAAACAGGTAGATATCAATGATCTGTTGTATGATAATTGACTGACTTCATAGTTTCTGTTGACTTCCGATACCCCGTTGCTTTTCAATGTCTTCCACGTGTCTAAAGTAAATAATTCAGTATCCCACATCACAGAGTATATATTTATTAAATTGTGACAAAAGTCCAAGGTAACTTTACCAAATCATACGTAGACTGTAACCGTAATATATTTGGTAAACCCACAGGTTGTTTTCTGAGGTCTTGTTGGTAAAATTACTTGACTGAATTGAGTTATAATATCTTTAACAATTAAATTTTTATTCTTATGGTAGCCGACTATTATGAGTAATTCAATTTTTAAGGAATCCATTTTGTCTGCAGTGTTTCCTTCGACTGCCATATTATTACCACTATCATTGTTCACGACCACCGCCCGGATGCTTCTAAGTTCACTTTCTGTAGTGTATATTGGTAGAAGCACGTAAATCCTACCGTAGGTCAGGGTAACTTATGCTGGGTACAAAATATGATATGTTCTTGAGGCATATGGGAGTGAGATATTTGGTATTGTTTCATCTTCTGATTAAAGTTAAGAGTGTGAAGAAGATGGGGAACTGATGTACTTCCGAAGTGTTTTTAGCTAGATAAAGAATATTGCAGATGGATGAGTTTTCAAAGGGAAGAGGATGAAGTTGTTTTAAAGGAATTCAGCTCAAGAAACTGTTATACACCATTCAGTTATACTTACTTTTACTTTACTTCGGCTATCTCCTACGGGAGGATGAGCCGGCTTCATGAACATCTCGAATCGTTTGTAAGAGAGTTCATGAAGTCTCATGGGAGTTTGGTACGAGTGATGTCCCCAGAATCGCTCGGCCTTTTGTTTGAGAGTGCAGCTCTAGCCTTTGCACAACCAAGTGTGACCTACAAGGCAGTAGAAGTGGAGTAGGGAGTCCACTATCCATTGGCAGCCGGTGACCGGAGTTCGGTTCATACGCCTTTTTGAATGGGGCCAGACATCCAGGACATCCAACAAGCCCTTTGTCCATACGTCTGCCGGTGAGCTTCATACGCCAGTCGTTGGAGGTTTGGAATCAGGGTTTAGCCATCTCCCCTAGACTGTCATCCAATGGACAGTCAACCCGGTGGAGAGCGCCGGGCATCCGCTTTCGCCCTCTCACTTTGGTGAAAAACACCGCCACGTGAAGGCAGTGAGTAGGACTTCCTCAGGAGAGGCTATGTAAGACGCCCGGTCATATGGGAGCATTTGAAGAGGTGTGCGGAGGGGTGGCCAACCCGCAGCGCAAGGCACCCATCCCCGACCATCCTGAGGCTTTGGATGGTAAGCAGAGAAAGTTGAAGGTGAGATAGAAATATCAGCGTAGTAATTAAATTGTGGGTTTTAAAACAGATTAGCAGTATTTCGAAAGGTTTACTGAACCTCAGATTAGTTTAACTTTCGTCCATATATGGCGGTCGAACACTGAAGCACCATTATGAAATGAATCACATTATTATCATCATTGTTCATGTTACGATTGTCACACAATTTGTGTATGCTTTTAAGGAAGAAGTAGTAAATTGCAAGCCAAATTAAATGATTTAGAATGGTTAGCAAATCACTTTCAAAAATACTCACTGTCCAAGTTTAAACTATGTATATGAAAAGATGAATAGCTGTTTGTCTGAACAGAAACAACTGCATAGGTTTTTGTGTAAAAAAGGAAAGTAATTTTAATTTTTCAGACTTGTTAGTATATGTGAGCTTTCCTTTCATCATTAAAATGGCTGTGACTCTTGCAAAAGTCATTCAAGGGAATGATGCTCATAAGATTTACATATCTTCACGTGATATGGTCGTGATTGTACACCATTAGATCTATTGTCTGGTTTTTCTGTAAACTAATTTATACATATATATATAGTGGTAATCATTGTTTCCGCTAATTAGGCAACTGGTGAATTCATCTTTTACTTTATTAGATTTTCATCATTCCTGATATAGTAAATATAACACTGAGTAGCATTATTTAGTTCACTAAATGTTTACTGTTACTTGCTGGTTAACTCAAGGGGAGTGTGAAGATGAATATGCTGACTACACTGGAGTGAGACTACAAGATGTAATGAATCTGTCGTTGTGAAATAATAATCCAGTGAATAGAGATTAGTATGCTAGGAAGTAGTCGTGAGGAGTCTCGCAATATCATATACTGGTTGCTCGGTGCTGCGTATGTTTTTGTGGTTACTTTCAAAGAAGGACTTAATCATTTCAATCCGAATACCTTATCTCAAAAGCGTCTAAAGACAGTAATTCCTGAAAACATGCATGTAATGTGGTTGTGTGCATACATAATAAGCTTCAATCTTGATATCCAACTACTGAATATTTGGCTGTGGTAGAAAACAAAAAGCATTATGTCTTGGGGACTTTGCACTTTTCTGATATCTCCAGCTCGTAATCACTAGTCACAACTTCAAAATGACTTAGGGATTAGTTACCAACTTAATTTAATACTGATTAGGATTCGCTACGGAGATTTTTTTATATTTGCTCTTATATTAGTGTATGAAGTTTATACTTGTTCTATTATTTCAGATCTATACAATGGTGCAATTTCATAATTTTTACTTAAGTTCAACATGAATCCTCAAGCGGACGTGTGTGCTGACTGCAATGCGCCATCTCCACAATGGGCATCTGTCAACCGGGGTGTTTTATTATGTGATGAATGTAGTTCTATTCATAGACAGCTAGGAAGACATATAAGCCAGGTTTGTTTCGTTTTATATTAATTCCTAATAATCTGAAAATCCACAGATTAAGCATCTTAAAAAGTCACGTTGGAGACCATCACAACTTTCAATGGTCCGTTATCTTGCATCCGCCGGAGCTAACGGTTATTGGGAGCACATTCTATATGAACCGATGCTCAGTGGTCCCAACGCAGATCATCATCGATTAAGCAAATCATTTCAACCACATAAAAAGCCATTACCATCTGATCCAGTACATCCAACAAAAGCTGACTTTATACGAGAAAAATATTTATTTCTGGGATTTTTTAAGAAACCACGAAATATTAATCAAGATGATTTAAATCAGCAACTTCACGCTAGTGTCCGAACCGGAGTTTTAGAAACAAGCTTATACTTACTTGCATTGGTGAGTGACTGGTATTTTAACTAACATGAACTACTGATTGCTTTTGTTTAAATAATGGTCTGTGCTTTTGATGGAATGATGCATTCGAAATACACTGTAGATTGTCAAAATAAACTTGTAGGAGTTAGGGGTAGTTAGGGCTCACGCATTATCCCTACCTATGTTGTATTCATGTCACAACTGAATAAAGCGTAGAATGGGAGAACAGTTAAGCTGATAAAGACGTTATCAGTAGCTGAATTTATTTGGTGATAATTGGCAAAATAATGGTGCACTTCGTTCAGCATACTGCAGCAGTAAGGGAAATTTAATAAAAAACTGAGTTTCCAACGTAAAATTCTGAACAAAGGGCAACAGTCAAAGCTACCATACTTCATATAGCACACCGGTATATAGGAAAACCCTCAAAGCGTCTGTAATGAACTGAGATGTAAGGGAGAGAAAATAAGTAAGTGAAGAATAATAAGAATTCGGTGGATGTAGGATTTCATAAAGAATGAACGCATCTGTACCACTGAGTACGATTTGGACACATATCACCAACAGTCTTCATGCATTAGTTCTTAGCATCTTGAAGCCTCTAGCCTGACAATCTACATCTTCCTATGTGGCTGGAACCTCAGCCAAAGACTTAATCGATTGTTGTCATTTTTTGATTTCGCTATCCCTAACCCTTTTCCAACCTAATCGTGTGTCAACTAACATCGCTTGATGAAGGTGGCGATGATTCGGTATGAGTAACACATGTCCTAGTTGGTGCAGCTTCACGACCTCATCAACTGACTTCCCCTTCTTGTCTAAACGCAATATTACTCACCACATACCACTGGACTCAAACACCTATAGTTGAAGGCAGCTGGTCTCTTCAGGTGGCCAACACGCTCAGCCACTTCACTTCGCATCTTTAAACTAAGAGTCCGTGGAGGTCAGTCCTGCGCCATCATCTTACATTTGGCAGGTGCGAATCGCATGCAAACATACTGAGACTTCTGCTCTAGATGTTTAGAAGACTCTGCATTTCATCAGTGTCTTTGCTTAGGAAGACAATATTGTCCGCATACTCTAAGTCGACAAGAATACCCTAGTAACGCGTCAATCCGTGAGTCGCCAAAGTCGACTACTACATCTATAATGAGATTTTAAAGAAATGGGGAGAATGAGCATCCCTGGCGAACGCCAATTATTGTCATCACCTCAAATGACAACTCTCCATAAGATCTTACACGTTTGCCTGAGTTTAGGTAGAGTGTCTTGATTAGCGCGACACATTTCCTCGGCATTCCCTTCAGGAGCCTATATTGTCGATGGAGTCAAATGCTATCTTCAGGGTAAGGAATATGTCAAGTGTTAAACGCCGTTAATTGTATTTATGTTTCAGAATCTATGGAAGGATGAAGATATGTTCAATACACCCTTGTCCAGGCTTAAAGCCTGCCTGGTTTTCTGGGTTTTGTTTCTCCCTCCAGCACCGCTTTGTCTACGCATGATTATGTAACCTGGAGTTCCAGACACTATTTTAATCAAGTTTATCCCCCTATGATTATCATAGGAAGACTTGTCTCCTTTTGCATAAACTAGGATAATCAGTAGTATGCACCAGTGTAATGGGACTATCTCAGTCCCGTGATACTTGATGCTTCTTCAAAAAGTAAAACCTGCAGAAATTAGTGAGGATAAATAAATGTTAAACGTGTTAATCATTAAAAATATCTGGAGTTTTTGTATGCGTTGTTTATTCCTTGGTTTTTGCTGCATAAAAACTAAAGCAAAATAATCTAACTTTTCCTAAATGTGACTTGTTAAATATTTAACTTATGGGTAGATTAATGTCATACATTACTGTGTTCGCCTTAAGAGTTCTTAATGCTGCACATGCTTCAGAACTATTGGATTTCAAGATGAGGATTACGAATGCGTGTAAAGCTTGCCCAAGTAGCATCGTTAGACTCATGTCTACAACTCTTGTCAACTGATAAAATTTCTCTATCGAAAACTGCATCCAAACCTTCAACGTCTCAGATCCTCTGTTACTTTAGAGCCGTATTTAATAAAATAACTAAAAGCATTAAACTTGTTTTACTATCATGACTTTTTTCTCAAGACGAGGTAAATCAGCGTTATATATGTCTAAACATCAATCGATAAATGCCTATTTTTGTTTACCACCATAACTAGTTTAAAATGCCAGATGATAACCGAACACCTGATATCTGTTGAGATATTTCTCTATTAAATAAACCTACTGAGATTAGTACAACGTTGCCGTAAATGCTACCACTTTGTTTGTCTGCTGGAAAGTTGGTTTTCCAATCTACAAATGTTTGACAAGCAAATATATACAGCTAGCTTAGCGTCTATGATAAAATTTGGTCTATGTGCAGGGAATTATGCAGCGTCCTTCCTGAATAATTAATAAAGAAATATGAAACTTTTATAGCGTATGGCTTTAAGTTATTTTGGTAGTGGTACTTTAGTGGTAGGCGTTCGGCTCATCATTAGTTAAAAGCCTGATAAAAACTGCAGATTTCTGAGTATTCACTTTGTATCGTCAGGCTTCACACTATAAATCCATGTAATATGTATACGGTCACCTAGTGACTGACTTCAGAAAGACAATGAATTCACAAGATACTTACCATACTTCTAGATTGTACCATAATATGATATCCCGTTACAAATCACCTATGGTTCATTCGACTTACACGTTTTTTTGTTCACTTCCATAAAAAGGCTTATTTGAAATTTAAATAAACCTTAATTCTTGGGATTTTATGTGTGAACGTTGTGATCGTAGATGTTAATTCTTTGGTTACTTGTTACTTTTCAACCTATTTGGATCATTCAGAGACTTTTGTGAGTCATGCCTAATTGTTAACTACTAAAATACTTAAACTGAAATATTCACTTGCAGCCTATCAGTTTTTAGACGGTGTGGTAGGTAACAAAAGTCAAGTATCAGTCATCATTGTTCATGTTATCTCTTGTCAATCTACTCGCATCTAGATACATAATACAGGGAAATACAAGTGCCAGATGAATTTGAAGTTACTGGTCACTTTGTTATACCAGCCAGTTTAACCATAGCGTGGTTATTAAAGATTTTAGTGCAGGTTTCCAGTAGTTTTTTTAGTGGTAACAAACATGTAAAAGGATACACCCTACTTATTTTCCTCTTCATGTTATTTCTTTTCAGGGCGCAAATCCTAATTTTCTTCATCCAACCAAAGGCACAGCACCGATTCATGTAGCCTGTCAATATGGTCAAATTGGTCAAGTGGAGTTGTTATTAGCCTACGGAGCAGATGTGTGTATTCGTGACTCATCTGGAAAAACTGTGATAGATGTAAGTTTACTTGAATATTGATAATAAATTTTTTTAAAGTCGTTTTGTTCTTGCATACAATACTGTATTCCCTTCCCGAAAATTAAAGCACTTTTTTCTTAATTTTGAAAATAAAAGTAATTCTTTTTAACACTTCGTCAAATTGAAAGTAAAACAACACTGTTTATTGTTGTGGCGATTTCCACTCTCAAAGCTTTGTAATTTGTTGGTAGGGATTTGTCGATATATACCTCAGTGACTTAAGCACTTGAGTTTCAGCCAACGAGTGCCGGGTTTGAATCCCACCCCACCTTACTTGAGCCTTGACAACTGGTTAGTGTCATCAGTCCCTACATTATAATCAATGTCAGTTGGAGTCACATGAGAAGGATATCTATCGACTTTTGATTGCACCAAAGAGCAAGTTGTTCGATAGACGGGAACGAGCTTAGCTGCAGGATAGGCTACAGCTAGTGATGTACTCAGCCTTCTATTGATCATCGCTATAATTAATAAATTTAGTAACGTTGTACTGAGTTCAAATCACGTCATAGAAACAAGAGACAAGCAATATTACAGATTATAAAAAGAGGGGTGAGGTTAAAGACAAAGATTACGTAATCAGAGTAGAGAATAAAGACATCCAGTTACCATGGCAAGGAAAGACTAATAACTGCTTCTTTCTGAACACATAAATCTGGTTTGAAGCGTTTGATAGAAATTGCTTCGGCAAACTTGAGAAGAATGGAGCTCCTTTGTCTATTGATAATTTTAAAGGATTCCTCGATTTCCACCTCATGACCCGTGTCGAGGAGATGCCTGGCGATGGCACTGTTTAAAGAATTTGTTCCCTTTAGACGTAGGCTTTTCGGTACATGTTCAGAAAATCGGAGGTGTGCCCTTCTTTCAGTTCTCCGAATGTAACTGCTCCCGCAGATACATGTAAATTTGTATATACAGTTGGAGTTCACATGAGAAAGATATCTATCGACTTTTGATTGCACCAAAGAGCAAGTTGTTCGATAGACGGGAACGAGCTTAGCTGCAGGATAAGCTGTTCTAGGTAACTGAGTTCTGACAATAATCATCATTATTATGCCTTGGTGTTTTGCTGCAAGCTGAACGAACGAAGGATTAAAGAATTTTAGGATAACTAAATTAGGATACGATATCAATACATGGAATTTTTTCTTATGATTGCTTTATGGTGTGTCGAAAATCTCAGACTGTCTGTAGTCTAGGGTTCATGGGCTTTCTAGAGAAGTTTTCCTGTTCTTGGTGATGATTGCCTTTAAAATTCAATATTTCGATTTCCAATTAAAATTTATAGCTAAAGCTTTCTTGTTTAAATCTTTCACTGATCCCTTATTTTCTCCTACCTTTAATCATTATTGCCATCATCGTCATGATCATGATCATTTTCAATCACTCTGTCAAATCAAAGTAATCTTAGGTAGTTTATTCAATAACTAACTAACCGCTTCTACGTGAAATAAGTTTATTTAATTATTACACACAGTGATATGGTATTGTGGCGTGTGCTACTGATAAGACTTATCAGTAGTATATACCTACAGAGATGTTCACCGGCATAAAAACATCACATAGCAGGCAGATAGATTTGACGTCAGAGAAAGTAAATGAAACAGCTTTGCGGAGAAAAATGAGAGACGTGAAAGGAACACAAAGAAACACACTATGAAGGCCAGAAGTAGCACAACACGGAAGATCTGTGCAAATGGCGCATTGAAGATAAGGTGTACATAATTTGGCTATATAGAAATACCAAATTGCAAATAAGCATTCCTTTACCAAGTTTCTCTCCATCTACCGTTACATATAGACGATTATATACATGGATTATTCTTAAGTATGAAGATGTCTGACTATAAAAGCTTAGCAGTATGTTCAAGTGCAATCGACACATGAACTGTGCATAGAATCAAGTGCTTCTGAAATTGAACAGTGTTGGTATAAAGTGACCCGATAAAATTAGGAACTTTGAGTAATTAACATCCAGTAATTTAATTCATTCACTTAATATTATTTTGTTTCCCTATCAGACTATGATTCACAGTAATGTGTAATAATATCCGACAGCATGGATCAGTGTAGGTGGAGCAGACTTTGACTTCCAAAAAACCAAAAGCAGTATAAACGAAGACGAATATCTATACAACAATGAATAGAGTTTTGCAATATTAGATTGACTGGGATCTGAAGTTTTGATTTCGTCAAATTTGGCTAAATAGACATACCGAAGTGCAATTTCTTTAATGAAACAAGGTTGTAAAATTGTATTTTGTAGATAAATCGCTGACATCTGTATACCACATTAGTTTGTCTTAACCATTCTATGCCGAACACAGGACAGTATCCGTTTTCTACATTCGCGTGCACTTCGGATTGTGAGGGCGATTGTTACTTCCCGGTTGCCCACACCGTGGAAGTTGGTTGCGTGACCGCAGAGCCCAGGGGACAACTGCTTGAGGCCGGTCACACGCTGCCTGTTTTTGTTTGTTGTTTTTCATTTGGTGTGTCTCACTAGCGTATTTATCACTTCTGCCCTGTGACACGGCAGCAGAAAGCGCGGTCGTTGTTAATCCGGGCCCCGACCGATCCGGCATGATATTTTGTGATTTATTTGAAGTCATAGGATTGGATTGGGTAACTGCTTTTAGTCTAACTGCTATCCAAACAAGCTTTCTGGCGTGGTAGGACCTACAGGAACATAAGTTCCAGCCAGTATAGCTTGTTGGGTCATTGCGGTGTTCAAGCCCGACCACCACGTCAAGGTAGCAGCTTTCGGTCGGGGTTTTCTACATTGTACGGCTTTATATCAAGTTAACTTTGGCAGTTGTCACAGCTTACAATAAAGTATGTCTTTCAATATTTTGAGAACATGACGTCGGTAGCACAGTGGTTAGGACTCTCGCTGGCCATGCACATGGTCCGGGGTTCGATCCCCTGCCGACGCACACCTGATATCAATTAGTCGGCCTGCAAAATTTGGGCTACCGATATCATCTGCTGAAAATTCCATACTTGTACCAAAAATATGTGTGCTTTCAAGCTATAATCAATCAAAAAAGAATCTAAATGACATAATTTAAACATTATCTAAAGAAAATCAAAACTCACCTTCTGCAGAATTGACGGTAGCACTCGATCCCAACGCTGTTTTAGTTTTTGATACAGGATGTTGAACAAGATTCGATGCATTAATATAAGCTGGTAAATTTTGTGATGTTGAAGAAACAACAACCTGATTGGTTGAAGTAAGCACATTCCTTTACCGAATCTTCGTCTTCCAGCGTTACAGTATGAATAGTTAGATAACGTTTCAAACACAATCTATTGCTCATAATTGTATTCTCCATCTCCAGTCTAGTAGTTAGGTGAAGATGGCATAAAAAGTTTCTCATAAATAATAAAGTAAATAATTTCTTAAAGCATTCACCTAATTACTCTAGATACTTCATTTTCTTAATAACAATGATAGTAATAATATTAATAAATAAAAATGTAGTAAATTTTAGTAATTTTCTAATTTGATTAATTTTCGTTGCATAGTCAATTTGTACTTCGCTTGCTATGCTTAGACTAAAATGTCATGTTATTATTCTCGTTATAATTAATTCACTTTGAGGTTAGTAATTTATCTTTTCTCTGTTCTGCAAGTATGTCTGTGTGTGTACGGCTTCATCTTGAAGTCTTCTTCTTTTGGCTACAGTGTGTACTTTGTTCTTGGACATATACACGCTGATAGTGTTAGTGTTGTGCGCGTATATTGTTGTGTGTGCTGACTTACTAGTCATGTATCTTAAATACACACTACTATTATGCGTTACTTGAATGTTAACGACACAAAATTCCAGAAATTGATTACGATAATTAATAATATTAATAATACGGTTCAGTCAGTGATCCTTGTGCTGCTATTACTACTACTACTACAACTGAGTAACTGAATGGCAGTGCGCAGGCTTAATCTTTTTGTTTTGCGTGAATTCCAGAATTGGAGCCGTGAGTGTACACAACTGTGAGAAGCCCTAATTTAGGCAGGCATTGCTGTGTAGCTAGTTATTAGTTCAAAATATTCGTCTTTTAAAAAAGTCACTAAATATGTGAATATCATTTAATTGGTGGATGGTGATTAGCAGAGGAATCCAAGATGCGTATTTCGTCCTATTTGGGACTCGTCACTATATGTACCCGCATTCCCTAGTGAGTCATGATGTTCCCACCGAGGCTCGAATCCAGTGCCCATAGTTTCAAACACCAAGGCGTTATCCACTAGACCACTTGGGCCACTAGAGCCACCTCTTGTGCAACGGGTCATATTAATTATTTAATTGAATTTTAGATTTTCCCGTCGATTGATTGGACCGAAGTGCTCGGTCTCAGGTTGACATGTCGGCTTCTTGTGCAGATGCCGCGATATGTCAACCTGAGACCGAGCACTTCGGTCCAATCAATCGACGGGAAAATCTAAAATTCAATTAGATATGTGAATATCATTCACTAATTAAGTTGTAGTATGGAAAAAAAAGCCAAACCGAATCATGTGAAGAATGGAAAAACTTAAGATTTTCGCTTCTGCTCCTGCCGCTGTTTTGTTTGTTCAGATGGAGGATTCATTCGCAAAACCTTCACGGTCTTTCTGGACAAGAATTTCAGCGTTAACTGTAAAACAGAGTGATTTTTGTGGAAAATCTCCATCACTGAAGTCACTATCTTTCCAACATGACCCTGACAGTGTTTGTTTGTCTCCGGGACATTCAGCATCATCGCATTCATTTCCATCGGTATTTTTCATTATGGTAGCTAAGCTATTCGAATACGTTGAATATATGTGATCAAACTCTGGTCAATGTATGACTTTATATACTGGAATAACCCAACAAAATACTGGATACCATCTTCCCTAGTTCCACTACTTTGATAGTATGTGATTCGTTACATTGTGTTATGACACGCTGCTAACACTTATCGTCGAGGTCCAATGACAAAGTCGTAAT